ATATATATATATATATATATATATATATATATATATATATATATATATATATATATATATATATATATATATATATATATATATATATATATATATATATATATATATATATATACATATATATATATATATATGAGTGTTCGGCCTAAGTGTAGTTCTCCTTTAGGTTTACTAAACAGTTTAGTTAATGTATACTATACTACTTAAAGTCGTAGATGTTATCGTTATTTTTCATTAAAAATAAGTGTGGCGCAAGTGTGTGTGTGTGTGTGTGAATATATATATATATATATATTCATTCATTTTATAAGTTTTGTAGTGCTCGGTCTTGGACGAAGCGTTCGGTCTCAGTAGCGCTCGTTCTTGATAAGTACTTGGTCTTGGACCAGCGCTCGTTCAATAGTGTTCGGTTTCTACAGGGCTTGGTCTTAAACCAAGGGCTGGGTCTCGTTTCAGTAATCTATTATTACCGTTTTTAGAATAAGAGTCTTCAGCCAAACTCAATAGCGTTCATTACTTCATAGTTTCTCATCAGTTATTAGTATTGGGTGTCAAATAGTGCTGGTCTTTAAAAGGTGTTCGACCTAGAGTCTTAGTACTCGGCCTAGGCTTCGTGGCATCCGTTTTGAACTCTTAAGGGTCTGTTTATTGAAGTAGATAAATTCGTAAATAGCGCTCGGTCACGTTAGTTTCTAAGAAGTGTTATTCCATTCGAACTTGTGCTAGGATGAGAAAGTGTGATCTTATTTCAGTTGAATGTATTGATGGTGAAGTATAAGAGAATTTAAAATGTGATGCGAATGAAATAGTTTGGTTATGAAAGAGTATTCCAAGGAGGAATATCTTAGAAAGTGGTTATTGATTGGTAAAGTATGAATGTGGGCAAAGCTTAGCGGGCGTTTATCCTGATATTTCATGATTACTCGTTCTCACGTAGAGAGGAGTAAGTCATGTGTGAGAATGGCAGGAGGTCCTAGTCTATAAGGTTAACTTGGACGGAAAGGATTAACCTCGGGTGGCAGCTGTTGAGGGTATCCCAGTTACTACATCACCCGGGTGCACAAACGTCGAAGCTACACAAGATTCATACAGTCCGGACAGTCAGAGTCAAGTGGTCGGTCGTTGTATGCCATGACGTATGAATTATGGTTTGGTTGTTGTTTGATTTAATCACGAACATTGTATGTTTTTATTGAATTAATTAAATTACATAAGCTTACCCTATTTATTATCTTGTCTGTGTTGTACGTTCGGCTGTTTGTCCTGTTGCAATGATCATCAGTGTGGATGTGAGCAGAAGGAGAAGAGTTGCTAGAAGAAACACTAGAAGAGGTGGAAGTGAAGGCCGAACCTTAGGAACGTTCGGTTAGTTTTTGGCCTCTTCTTTTGAAGAACCATTCGTTATAAATTTATTTTGTAAACCGTTTGGTCTAGTTATAGCCATTGTACAGTTTAAATTCTGTAGGCGTTTGTAAGGCCGTTCAGCCATATCTGTGTCTCCGATCTTTTGTAAGACTGATCTGTCATATTATTAATATGTGATTATTCTCGTATATGGTTTATACTGTATTTTTGGGATGTTACATCCATCATCTCTTTTTCTACTTTAATGTTATTTCTACATTCAATAGAGTGTTAAGTCTCTAGGACTGATTTTGCTATAATTTTTTAATGGATTCTGATGTTAGAATGAAATAATTGATTTGTTCCTTTTATTATTGTTGTGATTTATTTTTATCTATGTCTAGCTTTTTAATCAAGTATAAGTAACGATTTTTATATTGTAACAAAGTTAACATGATGTTAAATCTACATAATATATCAATAATATAAGTTTAAGTGTTTTTAATTTTAATTAAAAATCTACTTTAATTAAATTTAGAAACTTTCATTTGATTGAATGAGTTTTTACCAATAATTGTGAATATACTTTGATTAAAGGTGAAAATTTTAACAAGAATTAATCAGGAATATACTTTGGTTAATTAGTTTTTAACTTGACGTAAGAGGTAAAAGAATATAATGATTAGACATAGTATGACCATTCGGTCAACCATGAACCAAGCGATCAACTAGTGTACGGTGCCATATGAGCTGATCGGTAAACTGATTGATCGGACTAAAAATAGAGTTAACTTTAAGAATAATTACATTAACCCTAAGCTAGATCATCATCGTTTAGACCGTAATTAGGCCATCACTAATGAGAAGCTCATCCTAAAATCTATAAATACATGTTTGGTATTCAGGTTGTTGGTTACATTGATTGTACATTTATTGCTAGCTTTATCAGACAAACATCAACTTTAACATCAAAGTATCAGACAAACATCAACTTTAACATCAAAGTATCAGACAAACATCAACTTTAGCATCAAAGTGCTTTCTACAAGTAGCACCTTAGTCTGACCGAGTGGTAGCTAGAGTGGATTGGAGGTAGAACTAACCTGAACTTTTATATTATAATCATTTGGAGAAGCAGACTTAACATTGATCCCTTAAACCGAAATATTCTAATTAAGAACTTTTGATAATATTGCTTGTTTATTTTTCAATATCAATTAACTTCTAAATAAATTAAGTAAAAGTTGATTAAACTAACACAAAATATAAATACAAAGAATAACATTATGATTAAAATATATTTTGATAAATTTAAATTAAATTATTTACGTAAATTTGGATTTCATTTCCTCCTGACAAATAACGAAATTTTTTAGTCATTTTCTGATTAAAAAATGTTCTTACCCGAAATTTGAGCGTAAACTTTTAGACATTTGGCAAGATCATAATAGTGGTTTGATTGTTTCTTTTATTTGAAAATGGTCTCTTTGCTCTTGATACGAGGGATATCCAGTTACGAATGATTACGTGATGCTCAAATTAATAATAGTGTTAGGATATTTTAAAATAAGATGAAAGTGATTATTCATGAAGGAATACTAATTGTATTTATAGGATCAACATGAATTATGAGTCTATGTTTCTATTAGAATAATACCTACTTAAAAAGTATAATAATAATATAATAAATAGTCATAATGATAAATAATAATCAATATATTAAAGTATCGAGATTCAGTTATAATATATACATATTATCTAAGTAGATAATAAAAAAACTTAAAATATACTTTTGAAGTGTACTTTTTAATATACTTATTCTCCTTTGATAGAAAAAAAAACTTATGAATGAGTAAAAGTAGATTAATAATGAATGTAATATATATATATATATATATATATATATATATATTACTTTTCAGAATTACAAATTCATTATATATGAAAATAATTATGTAAAGCTTATCATTTAAGAATTCTAATGAGTCAAACTAAAACATAATTAGAAGCTTTGCATATTCTTAAACAACCAAAATATTAACATTAAAATACATTTATTTAAAGTAAATTATGATCATTTAATGAGAAAATATACACTTTACGCCAAATTTTTAAATATTTTTTTTAATAATGGAATAAATGTTGGGAGATGCCATCATCATTTTAGTTTACAAGGAACTACAACTTTCACTTAATATCTAAATATAAAAATGTAAAGTTAATTTTAATATTATAACTTAATATAAAAGAATTCAATTTATTATCAAATTCCTCATTGAAATTATAATTTAACGATAAATTAGTCCCACGGGCAAAATTTTCCTTAGTTTAAAGCCTAAATTTTGTTTTTTTATTATAAATTCTTTTTCGTATCACGAAAATAATGAAATGCCATTTTATAATTAGAAAAAAATAGGTTATATTTTAAAATATAGAAAATTTTTATACAACGTTGAATCACAAATTATACCACGTAATATTTATTGGTTAATAATAAAAGAAATATTTTACAGTAACTATGTACGCGTTTCAACAAATAAAAAAAAAATAACCCTTTTTCCTTAATATTTGAGTGTGGTACTGACAATGTAAGAGAACCGTTAGATTAAAATTGTAAAACGAAAACTTACACTTCTTAACATTTATTGAATCACATAATAAAAGCTTTAACTCAACTAAAAATAGTTATTTCCTATGTTGTTACTAACCTCTTTATCAAACTAAGGTTTTCTCTCTTAAAATAGCTTTTTTGAAAGATGTAAAATATTAAATAGTCATACCAAAGAAATTGAAGAAAGAATCCCACACGCTTTCATTGGAAAATTATCGCTCTTCGGTCAATATAAACGTCTCTTAAGAAAAGATGGCCAAGTTACCAACAATATGATAACACGTATACACTTTCAGATAATTTGATGCCAAACGCGGTAGCTCTATTATCACCTCCCTTCCCCATCTACCACCAACAAATATCGATTCACACACGCACAAACCCTATCGAAGGTGCAAACCCAAACCAACAACCCAACCCTACTCCTCTTTTCCGATCCGATCCTTTCCGAGGTTGTTTTCTCTCACCCTCTGATCCTCTCTCTTAACATATTTCTCAATCAAAGTTTCGATCTTTTAATTTTGTGTAAATCTCTTGGAAGAGAATCCCCCTACCCATTTTTGCGTCTTCTAGTTGAAAATATTTAGAATCGGTAGAGTTCTCCGCGTTGATTTTTTCCCTAGTTCCTCGATCTATTGTGTCCGGTGAGGTTCAGACGATTTACTTGTTTTTTTTTTTGTAACTTTTTTTGTTTTAATTGAAAATAACAACGTTTTCCCTTTGGAATTTATTGATATGGCTATATACCTGACGTGTGTTGAGGGATTGATGGGTAGATATTGTGTGAAATTTTTAGCTTTCTTGATTTGGGAAAAGGGGGATGAGAATTTTAATTTGCGAGCTAAAATTTTGGGAAATTGAAGTGTAGAAGCAGGTATAATTTTGATTGGTCACAGACTTTGTTAATTTCTCTATTTCTGTCTGGTCTCGTTTGCTTTTGTAGGGATACATTAGTTTTCGACTGTTAGTTTCTGATTCCCTTACGAGTTCTTTTCAAGATGGTATTTCTGATCTAGGAATTTTGTTTCTTCAATTTTCGGTACTTTTTTACTTTGACTGCCTTACCAGCAATAAATATTTGGGATTATTTTGTCAAATTTATCTCGCACCTTTTAGAGTCCGAAATTTAAAGCAAATTAAATACTTATCACAATAATGGCCTTAGTAGAAGGGGGAAGAGAAGGAAACGGTGTTTTGCAGTGGCTATGGAGGGTAGTTTTTGTGACATTAACCGTGCCAGTGTTATCATATAAAAATAATTGTAACTGACCTCTTCCTTTCTCCTTTTTAATACCGTTTTATAATCAAAACATACTATTCAGGCGCAGAAATACTAAACTTATTGGATAAATAACACGTTGTGTACTGCTTTTTGTCAGACTGATTCTTGATAGATATTTATTTACTTTTTCATTAATGTCTTATCTTACTTCCAATCCTTTGTGTCACAGTAAAAGTTCAAAATGAGTCGTGCCCAGGATGCAAACCGATCATTCTTCCCTTTTGGAAATCCTTTTAGGATGATATCCCCTAAAGGCTCTAAAATTTCTCATCAGCTTTTGTTAGTATTACAAGCTTTCGAAGCAACTTTGGAAGAGAGGCTGACAAGGCTTATTCCCGAGAGCAAGGATGAGATCCTTAGTTTGTCTTGGATGACTTTGGCGATGCGGTTACTCTGCGAGAGTCACAGTGACATTAAAACCCTCACAACAGAGCTTGAGCTTCCTGTTAATGATTGGGATGCGAAATGGATAGATGTGTACTTTGACATTAGCATGAAGTTGCTGGATATATGCAATGCATTCAGCTCTGAATTATCACGAATGAGTCAGGGTCAACTTTTACTTCAGTGTGCGTTGCACAGTTTAGGTTCCTCCTCTTCAGAGCAGTATGATCGGGCATGTTCTTCATTTGATGGTTGGAAGCAGCATATTAGTTCAGGAAACCCTAGGATTGAGAAATGTGGAAGCATTTTGGATGGTCTTCTGGGGTCACTCGATCTTCCTAAGGTTAAAAAGTCTGCAAAAGGAAAGGTTTTGGTGCAAGCTATGTATGGAGTCAAGGTTCTCACAGTATTTGTATGCAGTGTGTTTGCTGCAGCCTTTTCAGGGTCTACAAAGAATATGTTGGACTTGGACGTGGCCGATGTATATTCTTGGGCTCCGACCTTTAAAAGGTTGCAAAATCTTGTAAATGAGGAAATTAGAGTTAGGTTTTCGTGTGGAAGATTTGCTGTGTTGAATGAGTTGGAATCTGTTGATTCCTCTTTAAAGGAATTGTATCCTATTATCCGGGGTGTTGTAGATCCCACTGAGATGAAATTGCTTCCGGAGATTGTTGGGCAATTAGGTAGATCATCGGGGAATCTTTCGCAGGGACTAGATCTTCTTGCAAAGGAAGTTGATAGCTTTTTCCAAGTGGTTTTGACCGGTCGTGATGCCTTGCTATCAAATCTGAGGTCGGGTGCTACTGTCATTCACAGCAACGTCGGTGTAACGGAAATGCAGAGATAGTCAATTGAACGTGTTGCAAACTAACTCTGGTACACACAGATGGATCTAGGTTTTTGGTTTTCTGTTTTATGACTGACGATGCTCAATCATGCCTAGCTTATTGTATGGATGTTAGAATGATTAGTAGATTATGTGCCTGTGTTATTGTTCTGAAATGTATATTTGTGATGTAATGTGTAATGTTAAATACTGAAATATATATAAAGTTACTTCTGCTCATAGAAGTTGTAATTTGCTGCCCTTTAATTCTTTCTCTTAATTGATTAATGAAATCCGTGTGATTTAAGAAGCTTAAAATGAAGTAATTGTGTGAGGGCTATTGTCAGATTATTATATTTGTGATTGCATCATGTAATATAATCTGTAGCATGGTAGTACACATTCAGAATGTTTAAATGTCAGAGGCAGATAAAGAACTGGTGATACATACGAAAGACAAGAAGTCTCAGATTGAGTTATGAGCTTCGACTCTCTGTTCTTGAACACGGGCGTTCTATTTGGTGAGCTATTTCTACATTGTGCGTGCAACTTACTATTTCTTAGATTGGTTTCTCTTGGACTCTACTTCTTTGTGTACGCTCTCTTTTAAATTTATTTTGGTTATTCAGGACTTGATCGTCGGTATTTAATTCTGGAGTATTGCGTGTTATTTATTATATTGTATATTTTTATCATCTGATATTTTGAAACTATCGGATCAGTCACTTTACCTTCAAATCAAGGTGCTACATCTAATTCTGATCTCCTGTCACCTAACTCAGAACTTCTTACAATTATGTAAGTTGGGAAAAGAATTTACTGCTCTGCATTACTTGTTGAGATATGTGAAAATTGAGTTGCTTTTCATGCTGTGTTGAAGGCATTGGGGACCAAGTTTCATCACGCTCGATAAGCTCCTCAGAATATCAGGTGGTAGAGAAATCAAAGATTTGGACCTCTTTAATAAATTGATAGCATTCTCTAAAGATAATCTGGGAGAGCTCTGCAAGCTGTGTTGAAGAGAGCAGAGACCAAGATTTGTCCAAGATGATCTTTTATGAATCGAAAATGGAGAAGTAATCTAGTCAAATTCTCCTAGCGAATAAACCAAGCCACATGCATGCTATGGATCTTGTGAACATCTTGGTCTTGCAACAGCCAGCCTCTTCAACATTTGCTTATTTTTTTCTCATGTTTTTAATTTCTGGTTGAAATTAAGTTACTGGAGGCAACTTTTTTGCTGGAGCATTTTAACTTGATACTTGAACATAAAGCTGTTAAATATATTTCCAAGAATTTTATCAACCATGCGAACTTTATTCTAGATGATTGTTTTTGGCAGAGGATATTGTGTTTTTTACAATAAAAACACTCTTTTAGTACATGCCGACGTGGTGATTAAGTGTTCTTAAATACAAATAGATGAAACTACTGTTTAAATTACTTTTGTTTGTTGTTTTGCATAATTATAATATTATAGTTTATGTACAATGATTAACAATAGTATATTATGATTTTATAAGATTAAATTTATTTTTAACATGTTTTTAATATGAAAAAAATTAAACTATACTGATATAACTTAAAAAACTTACTAAATTTTATGCTGTTAATTATTTTTAATCAATGGATTATTCTTAATATTTAGTTTTTGAATAATTTAGGATATTCTTAATCAATCATAAAAGATATATTGGTTTGCAATTATTTTTGTCACATGGTAATTCATTTTAGTACTAACACAGGCCAAATAGTAAGTGAGTTTTGGCCTCTTTTCCTATACTACATGCGTTTGTAACATCTCAAAATATAATATAATACTATATCATAGATTAATCACATATAATAATATGATAGATCAATTCACATAAAGCTAGTAAAGTATTTTAACATTACAAAAGATAAACTAAACCTATTGACCGAACGATCCAATCTAAAACTATACACAACTGATAACCGAACGGTCTTAACCTAAGCAACAAGATCCTCACTTTCTAACGCTTGCTCCACCGAACACTCATCGCTTTCTGCTCACATCCACAGGATGATCATTGCAAAAGAAAAGATAATCGGACGGACAAAACAAGAAAAAACAAGAAAGTAGGGTAAGCTAATGTAATTTAATTATAAACACATATGCACAAAGTTCAATACATATGAAACCGAACGGTACATCATGCAAACACCGAATAGAATTAATCACATACAAACTAAACACCACCATTCATATATATATATATATATATATATATATATATATATATATATATAAATCGAACGACTTGACCATTCGGATTGTATGAATATGTAGCTACATTCGTCCTTGCACTTGTGGTAGTGTAACAGCTGACACCAATCAAGCTACTACCCAAGGTTAATCCCATAATACCTACCTCGGCACCCTGAGGTGGTAGGACCTCCTACTATTCTCACAAATGATATACCTCTCTCTATGTGAGAACGATACTCATAGAATTTCAGGATGAACGCCAGCTTAGTATATCCATATTCATACTTTACAATTCAATGATCATACACGAGACATTCTGCCTTGTAATTTTCTTTCACAGTATTCAAAAGTCCAACATTCTCATATTTAACATAATCTATCATTCATTAATTATATTTTCATTCACTGAATAAAGAGAATATGTGAACGTTGGAGATTGAACACCTTCGCATTACCCAACCGAGAGAACCGAACGGTTCATAAGAGACAAAACAGAAGAAACTAATCGAACGCTATTATTGACCGACCACCATAGAAACCAACTAGTAGGAACTTAACCCAACCCGAAGAGTTTAAACCACACACTCATAGCTCAAACCGAAACTCTTAAAAACCTATATCGAACACTATACTAGACCAAGTACTTAGAGATTATTGGATACTCTATCCAGATCGAACACTAGTTTAATATTAGAACACTATGATTAGACCAAACGATCATAAATAGATAATACCTCTAATAGACCGAACTCAGTTAATGACTAAGTATGTAACATCGCGAAACAGTCAACAAAACAAAACTCTGAATAATACTCCTTAAACCAAAACAAGATATTTTTCTTAATTTCTAAAACCTCCAAACTTGATTTCTAATTTATTTTAAACATATTCCACTGAACCTATTACACACTGCTCACCACTCACATTTTCACATACTCTCTTCCCAAACAGAACTGACCGAACGTTCTACAATAGGAAACTCCAACCCAGTTTACATGTCTCCACCAAACACATAATTTGAATACAATTCAATCAAACATACCATTATTCATACATGCAAGCGTACACACATCAATTCAAAACACAGAAAAATATAATTAAATCACTAGCTTCCCTTGCCTATAATAAACTAGGCACTTCCTAAGCTTCCACCACTTTAACTAACCAGCAACCACTTCTAAAGCAACCCACTACAATTCCGATCGGTGAAAAGGGACCAATCAGAGGATCAAAACAGAAACAGGTTCAGAGAGAGATAAAGAACACATGCAAGCTGCACAGTGCTAGCATGTTCCAGAAAATACCGAAACTTAAAAAAACGAATGAGTTTACTTACCCACTTCACACAGCAACTAGATTGATGGAAAAAAACTTATTGTCACCAAGGAAGAACTCACACATAACCTAGATGATGATCAGAAGAAGGAGGAAGTGAGAATTTGTAGAAAGAAGAAGGAGAATTGTAGAGAGAAAGAGGAGAAACTTAGAAATTTGAAGAGAAGATGTGCATGCAGAAAGTGGCTCGACGTTTGAAGAAATTTCTTATATACTACCGTAAAATACCGATCGGCCAATCAACTACACACCTGTCTTTCACTTTCTGAATTTTGTAAACCCTTACTCCTATACCTGACTTCCAGAATTTAATGGTTCTGACATCGTTCAAAACAACTATCTTGAACTCTTATGTTTCTGGCAAATTTAATGCCAAAATCACGTGCCTTTCTCATCTCTCTTTGTGTGGTTCAAATTAATTTTATATATTTATTTAAAATAAATCAATTATATATTTTTTACAATGGTTAAACATAATTAATATAAAAGGTTTCATTTAATGATATATTTTGTCATTCAATATACTAAATTAAGTTTTTGAGTTCTTTATAAATTTTGATTTTTTAAATTGTGTTTGATATAATGAGTAGTCAAAATTTATATATTTTTAAATTGAATATTTACCTTCTAATTTTTCTATTAGTTGGATAATGAGTAAATTCATTTATAATGAGTAATTAATTTTAATTTAACTTGTCATTTTTAATTGAGATTTTAGACGAATCCTTTTTTATCATAAATAAATGAGTTAGTTTAATTGAAAGTTAAACTAAGTCGATCTGACCTCATAATGTTCATCTAGGTTAGATGCAAGGATATTTGGTTTGAGCTTAAGATTAACATTAATCTACTATCGAGATGGATTTTTTTTTTTTCATATTGACTAATAAATAATTTCACAAGGTCGAATTTCAGTTATTTTTGTTTTTTTAATAAATTTTAAAATCTATTATTTTAGTTATTTGAAACACTTTTTTTAAAAAAATTCAATTTTAATTTTCTTTAAATTTTTTCATCCAAGTCATTTTACTTTAAAAAATATTTAAAAACTCTAAATAAATGAATTATTCTGGGTCCAAACACAACATGAGACTATCCCACTTAATAGAATACTATTCACATATTGGTCATCTAACTGCAATCCAGAGTCCGCTAACAGCTTGTAACAGGTTGAGCATTAGGTGTAGAATCTATTGCTTCTTCACAATTTATCTGTCATAATCAACTTTAGTAGCTGGTTTTTCCTTTTGTATATACTTTTATTAATTCGTACGTCACTTATGATGATTTGCAGTTGAAGAAGCTGTTTGCAAGTTGGAACCACTGCAAGATTTTAAGCAGGAAACTGTTCGCATTAGACCTTTCAGTTTTGATTTTGAGCAACCATCTTTCACTGAAGAAGATATCAAGGAATTTATATGGAGAGAATCTGTGATATAATCATATAATCTGTTATATCAACCATTTATTGAGAATCTGTGATATAATCATATGTTGTCAGTTCTCCGCAGAAGTATTAACATACTTGATATACTGAGATTTTTTTAGGTTGTCTTTCATTTTATAATTATTTGATATTCTTGGATAATTGTATTAATCTGAAGCCAAGCAGCATTGTTTGAATGTTTCATCCAAACCGTTTGTTACTGTTTGAAAATGGGTTTTAGATTCTCATAGAAGGACTTTAACAAGCAAACTTTGATTAATGTTAACCCTGAAACTTACAGCATCATCAAGGAAAGAAAACCCTTTCATTTCTATAATTTGAACACCATCCATCTCTTAACTTGAGAAGTGTTTTCTTGATTATGTGAGAAAGACTATTCCTAAAACAACCACTTATCTCCAACATATGTCATGCTGGTACTACATTTCTTGAGTTCCAGCATGTCAATAGGAAGACTATCTGCTGGAAAATCACATGCTGTGATCTTCTCTGGCCCCTGATCAGGTAACAAACCACAAGGTGGAGGATTCACCCCACTTGTCATCCCTTCAATATCTGTGCAGGTCCAAGGCTGCTTTTTGGCCTTAGCTGCCATCCTTAGAGTCACATTGGCAATGCAGATTCCTGTAAATGGATCATTGGAGATTCCTTGAAACCTAGCAGCTATGGTTACGTTATCAGCCACAACATCTCTGTAGTTGATGTTTTTTATCTCAGGCAAGGCATTAGGGTCATAGTGGCTATCAGCATGGGAGTTATAGTCACCAGTCATCTTAAATGCCCATTTCATAGTATGCAAGGTCATTCTCTTCACATATATGTCCTTCACAAAACCTCCTCTTCCCACTGCTGTCTTGATTCTTACCCCTGATTCAGTTTGGATGGCTGTGATGTCCTCAGCTCTCACATCTTGTATACCACCTGACATCTCACTTCCCAAGGCAATGGTTGCACTGTATGGTGAAATGCATGTTAACCTTCTTATCACTAGCTGTTTTGTTGGCCACCCAAATTTTATGCCATACTCATCCCATCCACTCTTCACAGCCACACAGTCATCCCCAGAAACTATGTAGCAATCTTCAATTCTTACATTTGTGCAAGAATCTGATAACAAAAATCATAACACAGAAAAAGGGTTTGAACAAACTTTTTAATCAATTCAAACCATGCTTTACTGTTCTCTGCTTCTTCTATACACAGTTTATCATGAATGAACTACCAACCTGGGTTGATGCCATCAGTGTTTGGAGATGTGACAGGAGCAAAAATGGTGATGCCTTGCACAATAATGTTGCTGCATAGTATTGAAAAACATGTGTTATAACATTGGAGGTAAAAGGTAGTTAGAGAGTTACTGCAGCAGTGACTATATTATATATGTAAGGACATTTTTTTTCTGCAAAACTGGAACAAAATAAAATGGCATTACCTGCTATAAACTGGATGAACATTCCATGATGGGGAATTGAGGAGTGTTAAATTTGAGATTTGAATATTGTCTGAGAACATCAATTCAATCAGGTATGGACGAGTGTACTTCAACTTTTTTCTGTGAAATTGCTGCCACCAAAACTCACCCTGACCATCTATGGTGCCATTTTCTCCTGTTAACAAAAAAAGATCATGATTGATACAATTTATCTGCGATAATAATAAGATAAAAGACTAAAAACAGTCGATGTATTAACAATATGAATTAAGAACATAATCTATAGTTAATATGAAGAGTTTAATTGATATCTATAGGGATGTGTGTAAAATATATGTACACAAGCATCTACTTTATCATCACATCATATTAATTTCTATACAATCATAAATAAATACATGAAACATATTTTGGTTATTAGAAGTAAAACTTTTAGATACATAAAAATGATTTTTTGGCCTCCTTACCTGTGACAATAACATCAGTGAGGTTTGTTCCAAATATGAGGCTTGTGAATCTTCCTGCCGGTGCGTCTCTTCCTCTGCCGTATGAAGGGAGTGGTTCAAGCACAGGCCATTCAGTAATATCCTAAATCATTTCATTAGTTCAGTAAAAAAGAGTTAGCAGTAGCACACATGAAAGTGCCAAAAATGTGTAACACTTGGAACCTTTTTCCTAGATAACACAAGACAAGTGTGTCAGGCACTCTTAAAGTTTTTGTCTGAATGTAAGAATAGACCAAAAGTGTCAGTATATAGTGGGAACTTTTGTGTGTAGTTGAGTTATTTAAGACTAATGTTGTCATCTCATATGCTTGGTAGAAAGTGGGGAATCTTGTGACACATTCTTTGCAGTTTCATTTATTGGACATCTCTCCTTATTTGTTACTCACGTGAACCCCTTATTCCCTATTAAATAATGTTTATGAAGCCAACTGATTGGTACAGTAACAGTCTTTCTAAAACCAGAGTCAGTAGAAAAGGAATCAGAAAAAGGTTTTGGCTCTTTGTACTTTCAAAGGCTTGTGAGCAGTAATAAGGCTTTGAAATCCGAAAGCTGGACAGTACTCATGTGAGTGATGAAAATTGTGAAGGACTGTTTTAATGTTGAAGCTCAAATTGAAATGATGGATTTTGAAAGTGTTTTCAGAAAGCACAAAATGAAGACTCATAATGCCTTAAAACCTCATGCTTATTGTTAAAGTGTGACCAAGAAGGAGTAGAAAATGGGATATACCTGAGAAGCAAGGAGAACGGCATCTTTGTCCAGATAGAGGGTGAAGTGACTGGTGAGACTGAAGCTACCGGTGAGCCATTTTCCTGCAGGAACATAGAGTTGAGAACCTCCTTCAGAAGCATACTGACTCAGCTGACTTATTGCTGATTGAAATGCCTTTGTGTTGGATGTTTTTCCATCTCCAACACCACCAAAATCAGTCAATGAAGCACTATGAGCTCTGCAGTTGATAGCGTTGTACTCTAAGGAAGTGGTCACAACTTTGGCTTTTCTGCTCTCTACTCTCTCTGAACTTAATAGTGCAATCAAAAGGAGAGCAAAAGCTGTTCTAATCATCTGCAAAAAACATACATCCATGAAAATGGCTTGTTAGAAAATGGTGTTATCTTGCTGAGAGGGTGGTTTTCTTGCAGAAGCAACAAGTATATGCACTAAAGTAGTGCATGTATTAAGAAACAGAATATGAGAATATTGGTTCAAGTAGATAGAGTAAGAAGGAAGAAAAAGGGTCTTAAGTGTACCCTCATATGAGTTTTCCACAACAGCTCCATCCTAATAAAAAAGAACTTTGGAATTTGGTTTAGATATGTGTGGAGAGTGAACCTGTGCTAGTATTTATAGTGGAACTAAGTTATGGCCATTAGGTAAATTTTAGATGATTAATTAACTATCTTTAGGAGGCATAACAAATCAAAGCCAATGGTAATTAGTGCAAGTGTTGATTGACCCTTAGCTGCAGTTTAGAACAGGAATATTTTTGTTCTTTTCTTCCTACTTTGAAGGCTTTTCTTTAACAGAACTTCTGTTGAGAATATTGAAGCAGATTTTCCTTTTAGTTTACAAAATCTTTATTTCTGTGATTTGATTTTTTTAATTCATGAAGTGATTCTTTTTCCTCAATTTAATGGTTGAGAGACTAATTTCGTTGATGAGGATGATATGATCTGAGGAGTTTTCATATATAGCATGAATCATATACACAACAAATTTTCAACTCATGAATCATTTGGTAAGGAATGTTTTGGTTTCAAATGTTTACCAAAATTTATCAAGATTCTATTAATGAATTTTCAATTGAACACCATCATAGAATTTTCTGACAACCTTAATTTCTAACACAGTCAACCCTCAATTTCTTTCGAATTAAAAGTGTGCCTTATATCTTCAAAGAAAAAGAAAAATGTGTAAATATAAATGATTGCAATCTTCACTTAGAAGTGAAGCAATATTTTTAAATATATTAAAAAACATCATAAAAATTATTTTTTCTAGAGTGGTTACCGTTGTCTAATCCCTAATAAAAAAATTTCAATCTATTATTCATTCTATTATTTGTTGGATAATTATTTAAAAGATACATACACATTTTTTAAAATGCACATATTTTATAAAAATTTTAAAATAAAATATAAATAAAATTATAAAAAGTATAAAATATAATATAAATTAAAATTTAATTTTAATTTTAATTAAATTAACTTAATAAAATATAAATTACATCAATTCAACCTCCAAATATTAGATAACTACAAATATTAATTATCCAATGCAAATTACACAAGTATTGTTGTCTTACCTAAAAATTGTTAGTTCTATTGAAAGGAAATCACCCTTAAGTGCCTGATTTGAGTTTTTTTATCATTCACGTGAATGAAGAACATATTAAAAAGACAAATCTATGTTTCCTTGCTTATATAATAGAAAACACATACACATACATATATTTCAAAATTATAAGTAGGTAAATAGAAAGAGTTTTTAGTATCGCTATTGAAATATATTTGCTAATTTAAGTTGTGATCTAAGCTAGAAAAAATATATATATATATTTTATTGAATATTATGCTTAAATTTAAAAAAAAATATTTATATTTTATTATAACTAAATGATTTAAATAGAAAATTAAATTATTAAAAAGTATATTTATATATAATTTATTAGATAATGCTATGAGATGGGAGCAAGTGGGCCAGAAGGTTTCACTTTATCTCGAATTTTCAAATTGGGTCTCGTGAGTGGGCCCCTGCCCCTTGCCGACCCACTTCACGGGTGGACTAAGTCTGTCATGTGCTTCTTTCAATATCAATCTCCTACTTACAAATGAGTCAATGATTACAGAGTTAATTTTGTAAAATGTTATATTTTTTATTTATGAAAAAAATAAGAAAAAGACATTATATAATGAATATTAAAATTAATTTCAGTTAGAAACATAATATTTAATTATTAAATAATAATAATAATATGATAAGACTATAGTGTATATTAAATGTGGTATAATTGGGTTGCAGAGGACGTAATATAATATTGGATGTGGTGGAAGTATTGTGTTGTGTTCCACTAAGTGATTAATATTACGTGTGGTGGCCGCCCACAACTCCTTCAGTGGGGGCTTGTGGATGCGATTCAATCAATGAAAATGACACTTTTTCGTCTCAAAAACCATCACGAGACCCTCTTTCACAGTTTATTCTCGATCCCATTTCTCATCTTATGTTTTCCTACTTTATTAAATCATTACAACTTTGTGCAGCTTTCACCTTAATATGACAAACTTTCATTAAATCATTACTAAATAATATTATTAGAGTAAATAACCATGAGTATGAGTATAAAAGTATCACGACCGTGATACTTTAACGACTTTTTTTAACAATTTTTTAACAATGTGTTACTCTTTTATTGGTTTATATATTTGAAACGGATCAATCACACACTATCATATAAGTTGTTGTAAAAAATTATAAAAAAAATTATTAAAAAGATATTTTAAAAAGTGTTATTCATTTTTAAAGTTTCATCAGATTTTTGTTTTAAAAGACTTATAAAAAGAATAAAAGAAAAAAAATATTTAAACTCCTTTTTTTAAGTCTAATTTTTTTTAACAATGTAAGAGTATTATAAGTGATAAAATATAAGTATTTAATCAAGATTTAAGAAGAATGGTTGATTATATTTAATTGAGAACTTAAGAGATCAAATATTTAATTATCACCTTGACAGTGTTAATATTCCGATCTTAAGTTCTCAATGTCAACCACCGTATATTTTGAAGTATGGTCTTTTCGGAAATATGAAATTCTATCATTGTTTTTAAAAAAACGTTTAATAAATAAAAGGAAAAAGATAATGAAAGAAGGATTTAAAGTGCCTTAAAATCTTAAATCATAATTTTAAATTAATCATGAGATTAGAATAATTATTATCAAGTGTTTGAAAAATATAGCATTAATTTGTCTTTTTCAAGGAACAACCCTAACCTCTTGATTTGGGTGGCTGAGAATATAGCATTAAACAACAACAAATCTTGGTGGCTAGTGGAACTAACCTAATTTTCCATAATCCAAACACTACAACATGTTTAAGATTCACCACACTTTAGATGTTATATGTAATTGTCATAGACAAAAAGTGCAAAGTTTTATACTTTTTCTCCTAATACTCTTTCTTTAACCTAATATTGTAAGTTGAAGATAAATGTTCACTCATGTATAATTCTCTCGAAAGCTTTTGTACACTATGCTAATTTTTTACATTAATTAAGAATATGATGAAATTATAATATACAAATAAATTTAAATCTCATTTTAAAAATTAATTTTATATAACTAAATTAAATTTAAAAAATTCACTCTCTAATATTGAATCAAAACCTATTTTGATAGAAATTTGTTAAGCCAAGTTTTTAGACTTAAAATTTAATTTATTGCATCTTTAACACATCATATAAATATATTATATTTAATTATTCTATCAAATTACTATATTAACAATTCTTTCAAAAGTATTAGTAATACCATTTTAAGACGTATTTTAATAATTTTTCATTATAGAATTACTCGTTCTATCAAATAGGTTGGCTGCTTTTTTAAGAAAATACATATTTAATTATATTTTATGTCAGAAACATACTTGCCTTTGAAGTAATACGAAGATAGTGCAGCATATATTAATATTATATATATATATATATATATATATATATATATATATATATATATATATATATATATATATATATATATATTGCTACAAAGTTATATTTTCTCTTGTGAAGACGAAGACACGATTAACAGTGGAATAAAAACTTATTCATGCTCACAAGATATTTAATGTTATATTAATCATTTTTTAACAAATTGATAATTTTATCCTTACTAAGGAGTTTAGTTAATGCTAGTATTTAAATAAATTGGAAGACCACTTCTACATATTTGTTGTTTAAATAGATCAAATTGATTTGAATAAAAATATTTTTATATTTCTAAAGGTTCCAAAGACAGTGATAGAGACTGTTTTGTTTTGTCATTTCAAAGATGTGCTCGTGACTTATTGTTTTACACATAAGGGAAATAAAAACCCTTGATTGTGAGTTTATAAAGCTATGAAATTAAAATGGAATTTAGAAAATAACCACAATTGTTAATTATTGAATAAACCTATATTCCTAACTCTATACACTAATTGGATAGTTCCATTATGTTTATATACTTTTATGGCTTCAAATTAACCATGGACTATAGCTTTAGTTTTGATTTTTTTTTAAAACATAATTATTTTGCGTATATTTATAGAAATTAACTCATTAAAAATGCATAATTTTCTCTATAAACGTATAAATGAGTTTCTGGTCGAAAAATGTATAAAATCAGAATTATTTTGCGTAAAATTTTGTTCGAATAAGTCGAAATTACTGTTGGTCCGTGATGGTGAATTGAGTGGTTCCTATTATTTTAACTTATTAAATTCCAACAACGAACCAGTATTTATTCCGGGAATCTACACTATTTCATTGTGGCTTGATACGGTTATGATGCATGTATTTAATTTAATTATATAGTCTTTATTTATTTAAATACTTAAAAATTAAATTTAAAAATCAATGTTTAAAGTATATCTCCATGAGGATTTGATTGAAGAGAAGTTTTAAAGTTTAGTTTGTACATGAGAATACATGAAAGAAAGAAATAGTTTAGATTACTATGAAATAATACAATGATACTACATTAATTGGAGAAAGGAAAGATTAAATCTGCTCGCTCTTGGTTATGAGTTCTAAGATTGCCATTGCTTTCCTCTGTGCTCTATTTGTTCCATTTTGTTTGATTTCTATCAAATGTTCGTACACTCCAAACTGAAGTGCTGCCAATATGAAGGATGAGTTATTTAAGCACAACTCAAGAAGAACTGAGGCTGCACATTCCTTGTTCTTCGGACTTCCTTCTCGCATGAACTGAACAAGAATTTCGATGAAACTAAGTTGTCCAATCTCTTGTCTTCCTTCTGAATTTGAGACAAGGAGTAACAGAATGGAGAGAGCCTCATCAATCAACCCTAAGTTTACGTCCTTCAGCAACTGAACCAAGGGTGCTACAATGCCAGCCCTAATGGCCCTACCTTTGTTTGCTTGGTTCAGTGATAAGTTGAAAAGAGCTGTGATAGCATCTTTCTTCCCTCTAACCGTTCCATTCTTCAACAACTTCACCAAAGGTGGCAACCCATTTGATCGACCAACAATCTCTTTAATCTCATCAAGCATTGACAAGCTAAATAAAGTTGCTGCTGAGTTTTCCTTAGCCACACAACTTCCATTCTCCAAAACTTCTATGATGGCTGGAATCGCACCTTCTGATGATATAAGTCTCTTG